GCTCAAAGAGGCTTTGGCTGGAGGAAGTGTCCAGTCCCAGAACAGGCTCCCAGGCAGTGGTCAATGTAGCAATCACCACTCCCAGAGAGGCTCAACACTGCCAGTCTCTCCCTGCTCCTCTTGAGAAAGGACACATGCTCTCCAGCTTTCTCTAGTCCTCACTACCACCCCCTAGTGTTCAATGCCTGGTCCTTTTCCTTCACCGACATGAACTATGTGATTTCTGTGTGTGAGCTTGCCATGTCTCTGATGGGAAAGTTCTCTTCTTCTTTCCCAGGAGATATTAAAATCACTCCTTAAAACAATGCTATCAAATAGCAAAGGAAGAGCAAGCTCAGGACATAGAAGGTGGTAAGACAAGCCTCTTAGAGATACTGCTCAAAACTTAACATGCTTTGTCACTTTAAACATTAGCATTTTTAGCTGGGTGCCGGTGGCTCTCACCTGTCATCCTAGCTACTCAGGAGGCTGAGATCTGAGAATCTCGGTTCAAAGCCAGCTGGGGCAGGAAAGTCCATGAGACTCTTATCTCCAATAAACCACTAGAAAACTGGAAGTGGCGCTGTGGCTCGCCTTGAGGGGAAGAGCGCAGGGACAGTGCCCAGGCCCAGAGTTCAAGCCCCATGACCACCCCCACCCCCCCAAGATGATTGCTTTTTAAAAAATTTTCTTCAGATAATTCTTTTTCACTGAATTTGAAAAAAAATACATGTGGAACAGATACAAGCAAATATTGATCCAAAGACTTTTCAGTGATAGACCTTCTGAAACAAATCAGACCCGCCTTTGTAAGCAAAGTTCCCTACTTCACCTGTCTATCCTCTGGGTTAGGTGTGATCCGTGGTTGCTTTGTAAGGCTGAAGGGAGCAAGTGCGAATGAGAACTGTGGTGGCCACAGCTGAAAATATGTACAATGAAGCTTTGAGGGGGAGGGAAACAATCCCATAATCTCTTTCAAATGAAGACTTCCTCTGCTGGGAGCTGGTGGCTCACGCCTGTGATCCTAGCTACTCAGGAGGCTGAGAGCTGAGGATCATGGTTTGAAGCCAGCCTGGGAAAAAAAGTCCATGAGATTCTATCTCCAACTGACCACCAAAAAGCCAGAAGTGGAGCTGTAGCTCAAGTGGTAGAACACCAATCTTGAGTGGAAAAACCAAGTGAGAGCAAGTAGCCTTGAGATGAAGCCCCGTTACCAACACACACACACACACACACACTTGAGATCAAGCCCCATTACCAACACACACACACACACACACACACACACACACACCCCAGAATAAATAAGCAAAAAAATGCACATTGCCTGCAATTCCAAGGAAGCTCTTCTTTGGCTTTGGGAAAATGTAGACTTGGCCATTTGGCTAAAGGTGGCAGAGAAGCTACTCAGGAGGCTGAGATCTGAAGATCGCAGTTCAAAACAAGCCCAGGCTAAAAATTCCGAGAGACTCCTATCTCCATGTAATCACTCCAAGAGTCTGGAAGTTGAGTTGTGTGTGACTCATGTGATAGAGCGCTAGCCTTGAGCAAAAGAAACTTAGAGAAAGACCTCGAGTTCAAGCCCCAAGGCTGGAGAGGCTTGGATTGATGGGGGTCCCACGGGCGATCATTAATGCAGCCATCAGGAGACTCAAGTTAGCCTGCTTTCTAACATCCTTGGATGAATGCTAGAAAGACCTTTTTTTGGGGGGAGGGGGAGGTCTCCTCAGATGTGCCACTGTGAACTCTGTGTCACCTGAGTTTTGCTTCCACCAGCCCTTCTTGTCACAAGAAGGGTAACTCCATTCATTGACATCACTTCCTGCACTAAGGGACTATGGTCCGCTCCACTCCACAGTGATGGAGGGACTGAGCTGAGCAAACTAATCTGATTCCAAAAGCTACTTCTGGAAGGCTGTGGGTGTGCTCTGATGTCCAAAGGAGGCTTTTCTTTTTACTCTTTTCTTTTTTTTTGTCGGTCACCGGCCTTGAACCCTGGGCATGGGCACTGTCCCTCAGCTCTTTAGCTCAAGGCTAGCGCTCTACCACTTGAGCCACAGAGCCACTTCCAATTTTCTGGTGGTTAATTGGAGATAAGGGTCTCAAGGACTTTCCTGCCGGGCTGGCTTTGAACCCAGATCCTCAGATCTCAGCCTCCTGAGTAGCTAGGATTACAGGCATGAGCCACTGGTGCCTGGCTTAAAGGAGTTTTTCTTCTCCCCTTTTCCCAGAATCCAGAATCTATCTGACTCCACTGGCAGAAACCCATTTCTACCACCTGCCAGGGTCTGGAATCCGGTCCTTCTTCAAGCCTTTTAAACACTGGGCCCTGTTCTCTTTCTACCTGGATTTTCAGAGTCTGGGCAAATAAGATTTGGCACATGGTGAGAATACAGCTCTGGCCACAGTTCCTGGTACAGAGGAAGAACCACACAAACTTGAAAATCAAGTCTAAGTCCATCATTTCTCTTTGGAGACCATCACACACAATGACTACATGGGCACTGTCTCCAAACAGGCCTTCCTGCCTCCATTCCTGTCTCTCCTGTATAATCTGCACACAGAGGCCAATGACCTCCCCCTGAGCTGAATTCTGACATTGGTTTTTCATCTCAAGAAGAATCAACCTCATCCAAGCTGGGCATTGGTGGTTCACACGTGTAATCCTCAAGAGGCTGAAATCTGAGGATTGTGGTTTGAAGCCAACCTGGGCAGACAACTCCAAGAGATTGGAATCCCCAGTTGCCCTGAATTCATGCCTAGTACTGCCACAACACAAAACCTCATGCTTCTCTGAGTGTCACTCATTTGACCCCATTCTTTCCTCCCCGGCCCCTCTCTTCAAGGCTTTCTTATGCCTTCAAATACATTCCTGCACCTGGCATCTTTAGATCTGCGGCTCCTGCAGCCTGCTATGTTCTTCCATTGGTCTCACACTACACTGTCCCCTCCCTGACTCTCGCAACTAACTTAGTCATACATTTGTTTCTGGAATCTTCTCAAGCTCCTCCACTTCCATAGCAGGAGAACGGAAGTCTGTCTTCATCTATGTCCTCTCCCCAGTATCCAGTCCTGTGCTGACTTGTGCCAGTCTAGTGTCTGCTTCTGAGTCCTGAGATTGCTTCACATGTTAAGAAATTCACCTTTTCCACAGCTATTCCCTGGAGACAGAACGTTCTATTCCGACTGGAATATTTTTGGGGGATTCCATATTCCTTTCACCCAGTTTCACAGAAGGCTCCTGGGCATCTTTCCCCAAAACTGTAACAAACTGAGCAATAGCCACAGGAGACCCTCCTTCGAGAAATTAGTTCATACCAGCTTTACGACGCAAAGTCAATTCAACACATGAAAATTTATTCTAAGTTGTATCTTAACATACGAGATCTCAGCTTTAGATGAATTTTAATGTTTACAAGTGCAAAAGCAAATAAATATTTACCAGCTGCCTTTTTTTTAAAAAGAAAAAAAAAAGAAAAAAAATCTTCCACAACAGCTTAGATGCAAAAAAAAAAAAATTGTTGCTAAACATCTTGTAGTCTGGCAAAATGAAGAATTCCTTATTAAGAAAACCCTTGACAACAATAACAACCCTACAGTGCTTCAGAGCTTCCCAATAGAGGAGATCAGGGCAGCTCAGTAAGGTCAGAGTGTGCTACTGGTATGGGGTAAGGAAGATTTCAGAAAGAGAGACCATACCAGCCCCGCCCTGCTTTTGTCAATTAGCCAATGGAAGCTCTGGGAGACAGGGCCACATTCCTTAGGGCTATACCTGTCCATTCATTCCTCCAGAATGGCTCTCTTGAATGAAGTCCTGGCCTCCCCATTATTGTCTTGGACATCATCCTCTCATTCTGCGTATCATCGTTTCATAATTAAAGAAAACTTTTTAGAGTGAAGGCGGCTCAATGCGGTAGGGCACATCTGTAATCCCCACAACTCAAGAGGTGGAGATTGGGAGCATGGGGTTCAAGTCTCACTAGGGGAAAAAAAGTTATGGAGACCAGTCTAAACCAACAAGTTTGTGCATGGTCCATGTCTGTCGTCACAACGATCCTGGGGGTATAGTTAGGAGGAGTGTGGTCCGAGGCCAGCCCTAGGGCAAAATAGATCTTCTTCTAAAACTAGCTGAAGTGAAAAGGGCTGGAGGCCCAGTTCAGGTGGTAGGTAGGTGCCTAGTAAGGATGGGGCTCTGAATTCAAACCAGTGCTTCCAACCAACAGTATCCTTCCCCCCCTCCCCCCGGCCAAATCCCAGAAGCTTATGTTAGCTTTCTAGTTTACCAGTATTAAAGTAGCTTGCTCTCAATGCCCCACCTACCTAACTCCCTGGTAGGGCCTTGGGACAGCTGTGGCCAGTCATCTGTGTCTTCCCCTTTACCGAAAGAGGCAGTACCAGGCTGCCAGGTAGAACAGCCAGCCCAAGGCCTAGAACAAAAACCAAGCCACTGGGTGGACACTGATGGCTCCCTCCTATAATCCTTGCTACTCAGGAGGCTGAGATCTGAGGATCACAATTTGAAGCCAGCCAGGAAAGAAAAGTCCCTCAGACTCGTTATCTCCAAGGAAGCAGCAAAGAGCTAGAAGTGGAGCTATGGCTCAAGTGGCAGAGTGCCAGCCTTGAGCAAAAATACTAAAGGACCAGCCCCAGGATCAGCATGCACAAAAACAACCACCAATCCACGCTAAACCAGGTGTGTGCAATAAATGACAAAAGCATCTTCAGGAGTAAACCACTCAGGACGGATGCCCTCCGGACTCATTTTTATTATTGCTAGGTGGAGACTTTGGAATTATTCTGATCTTAGGGCAGGAGATTAGCCAGTAGGTCTCTAAGATAACATTGGGAGACGTGTGGTCTGTCGGTTCTTGTTAGGATAAAAATCTGGAGACACTGCAGTATAGACAGACACATCCACCAGCCCTGGTTACATCCAGGATATACAATCCAAGAATGATCGACCCACCTGCCCCCAACAGAGGCCTGACAAGGTACCCCTCACATAGCAAGCCAGGACTCACCTGGATTGACAGTGATAAACTTGCTATCCTCAGAGAATCTGTCCCCTCGGGACGGGGGTCTTCTAGATGGCAGGTTGGGGTCACTCCTGGGGTCACTCCCTGTAGACTCTTCCTCTGTAGCTGTGGGAGGCACGTGGGTGGAAGGGACCTCATCCGAGTCCAGGCCTGGGGTGGTGTTCCTCGCTTCTCCGGGCTGCAGGGTGGGGGTGGCTGGGTGCTCCCGCCTGCGCCCCGGTATAGTCTGATGACCGTCCTCCTGGGCAGTCCTGTTGGGGGCGGAGGGGGCCGGGGTGTGCGCTGTCTGGTTGGGCTGCCCGGCAGCGTGGCTCACCCTGCCGCTCTTCTCCTTCTTCTCGGAGTCCTTCTCCCCCTCCTCCTCGTGCTCCCGCTCCCCGTCCTCACTCTCGCTCTTCTCGTCCTTCTCTCCTTCCTCCGTGCCCTCGCTGTCCTTGGCGGGGGCTGAATCTCCATCGGGACCCGATGAGGCCAAGGCCTCGGTGGTGGCCAGGACCGGCCTCCCCGCCTGCTTGGTGGCCGCGGGGGCCGTGGGGAGACGCGTAGGCCACACAGTACTGGGGAAGGAGGAGATGCCGCCCCCACCGAACCCCAGGCCGGCCAGGAGGGTGCTGGTGACCACCGAGGCCACGGTGGCTTGGCTGCCGCTGGAGGAGGGGCCCATGCCTGTTGCCATGGAAACGAAGGAGAAGGGGATGCCCGAGGATGTCCAAGTAGATGACCCGGAGCTGATGGGGGCCATGTCGGCCGAAGAGGCAGGAGAGGCCGTGGGCTATAAGGTGAGCAGAGGGAGGAGAAGAGGCAGAAGGAGACAGCACACGGTGATCAGTAATTTCCTAAGATGTCCTGCTTTGGAAAACCTCAGACTTGTCCTCCTCCATCCTGTGAGGGTGCTGAACAGAGGCTGGGAAGCTGACCATGGCTGGTCCACGATGAGCAACTCTCCTGCTAATGGTTCTTTTGGAATTCCTCTAGATGTGTACTAAGAATTGTACCAGGGCCTCGAACACTAGCCTTTCACGGATACTGCTTGGGATGATCCAAGTGGCAAAAAGTAAGTAGCATTACATTTGGCTCAAAGTACTAAATCAGCAACATCAGCTAGCCTACTATTCTTGGGGGGTAATAATGAGAAGCCAGGGACCCCAACTTTTATGGCAACCAAAAGAACTGCTGGTGAGTAACTAGCTCTGAAGTCTGGGATCTGATTCAACTCTTACCACCTGTATCGAGATGGACAGTGGCCAGCCCAGCTCTGCAGCGGCCAAGTGAGAAGCAGGAGCCGCACTATGCACAAGCTCTGGTAACTAGCTTCCATCCGGGAACTTTTCTCCAGCCACTGTGTCTTTCAGAGTCTCAAGTTTATCCAGAGCAAAGCCTGTGCCATTGCAGATGATTAACAATACTCACAGCAGTTCTGCCTAACACAAGTGTGCTGGAACTTTCCCTGCTATCCTGGAGGCAGGCATGATCATCACCATTTTACAGGAGAGGAAACTAAGGCTCAGCAGTGGTAGGGGTTAGGAAGGTGTAGAGGCAGAGCTGCTTGCGGCCTCCTTCCGCCCACCATTTCAAACCAGGGCCCAACAAGTTTCCTGGGTCAGTCTTAAGAAATGTTGTTCTTTGGGCTGGGAAGTTGGCTCAGTGGTAGAGCGCTTGCCTTGCATGCCTGAGGCCCTGGGTTCCATTCCGTAGTACCACATAAGCAAAAAGAAAAAAGCAGGAAGTGGCGCTGTGGCTCAAGTGGTAGCACGCTAGCCTTGAGCTGAAGAGCTGAGGGACAGCGCCCAGGCCCAGAGTTCAGGCCCCACGACTGGACCCCCCCCCCCAAAAAAAAGAAATGTTGTTGTTTATTTTGATTTTTTCTGTGTCCTACTGGGGCTGGAACTCAGGGCCTTTGCACTGTTCTTTAGCTTTTCCATTCAAGGCTGGAACTCTATACCACTTGAGCCACAGCTCCACTTCTGGCTTTTTTCCTGGTCAACTAGAGGTAAGAATCTCTTGAATTTGTTTTCGTGGGCTGGCTGACCCTCAGATCTCAATTTCCTGAGTAGCTAGGATTACAGGTGTGAGCCACTGGGACCCAGGAACAAGTGTTATTCTGACAAGTTCTTATAGACTAGTCTATAGATCTAAGATTCCATCCATCTTTTATACATTTAAAACAATCACCTGAATAATTTAGGGATTGCAACTTCATCACCAAATTTTACACGGAAGGCTTTGTAGCTTAAAGATGTTCGTGTAGGCAAAGTTGAATTCTGAAACCGGTTAGTGAAAATCAAATGCCCAATATAATTAAGTTACATGGTATAAACAAGTCAGACAGCCTAGGCTTGAACTTGCAATCAAGCCAATACTGGACACTTTGGTTTTCTCATGTGGCCAATGGGAATAACAGTACCACCAATTCTGTGGGTTATTTTAAGAAAGAAATGAAATAGTCTGTCTAAAGACTTCAAAGTGCTTAGTGAGTTTTAGGCTACTGTTATTACCATCTATACTGGGATTAATATTATGATCAGTACCTGCACTAGGACAGAGAAAACTGACATTTGAGTCCAGGATCCAGAAATTGGAAAATCCTGGAACTTTTGGGTAGGTGAAAATCTGGATTTTGGCTTATGCCAAAAGGAAGGTTTGGATTACTTTTGTGTTCCTGTACTCTTTGATCCCAGAGTTCATAAATAAGTAAGAATTCAGGAGATTTTAATTTTCACATAATACAATGTAGGCCTTTAATACTGTTGCAGAGCTTGCTTCACTAATGAATTATAGAGTGAATAATGTTTTCTCCATTTTAATCTCCACATTGAGCAGTTCAACAACATTTTACTGCCACCTCATGGTAAGAATGTGAACTACATGCAAATGAACAACCAACTAGGACAAAGTTACCACATCCTTTTACTTACCACTCCTGTTTTCACAATCCTGGTCCCTTGGAATATCCGGGTGGTATTAGCTGAGAAATAAAGAAGATATAATGTGAACAGAATATCATTTTTTGGTTCCCTCAAAACCCCCTACTGACACAAATCTAAACTACAGACAATTTTCATGTAACAGAATATTAGTCTTTTATTATTTTTCCTTCAACCATGTCAGAGTATAAAATCCTTAGCCTACTAAGCTTAGCTATTCAGAAGGCTGAGATCTGAAGATTGCAGTTCAAAGCCAGCGAGGGCAGGAAAGTCTGTGAAACTCTTATCTCCAATTAACCACTAGAAAACCAGAAGTGGTGCTGTAGCTCAAGTGGTAGAGCGCTCGCCATGAGCTGAAGAGCTCAGGGATAGCGCCCAGAGTTCAAGTCCCATGACCAACAAAAATAAAAATAAAGATCCTTAGCCTGTGAGTCATGCTAAAACATGAGAGCAAGACACAGCGGATATATAAATCTGTACTTTGCTGTCTCCTGTCTTAAGGTACTAATTTAAAAGACTTTCAAGTTTTAGTTTTCTCTTTCATTGAGATACATTATATATAATGTTATATATAATGCACAGGATTTAAGTGTGCAGTTTATTTTTAAGGTTTCATGAATAATTTCTTCCATTTGATGTTTTGTTTTTATTTTTTAAAGTATAAACCTTTTCATTCCCTCAGTCACAATTTTACAGTACAGTGTTATGGCATTCAGCAGCAATAGTGTTTGATCCTTATTCTTTTTTGTCACATTAAAGAGAAAAGCAATTGGACCATTTTAAATGTCACTGCTAAACAACAACTTTAAAAGGCCCTTTCATAAAGTGATCAAGCCACTTGGAGAGGGTTGTTGCTGACACGTCCAGTAATGACTACTGTTACAATCTTCAGTTTAAATTCAGTAACTTCAAGGTCCACAAATCTAGTTTGCTTTGAAAACAAAAGCTATTTTGAAACCCCATGAGTATAAAACCTGACAGTTTAATTATTTTTTACATGTGTAAATGCCTACATAACTGCCACCCACTTTAAGATATAGACACGATGTCTATACACATTGATAGAGAGAGAGGCCGTGGGACCTCTGTCAGGGTTTTGTCTGTTTTGAGCTTTATTTGATGGAAATTGTATCAACCCATTGTTCCTTCTGCATTATCTTTTTATGAATCATCACTTCAATTAATCTTTTGGCAAGTCTAGTACACATCTTCAGCTTATTACACCCTGTAGCAGCTTACTACATCAGCATGGGGTTTGTTTGTTTGTTTTTCTTTATATCAGCCTCAGACAACATCTACCAAGGTAGTGATCACAGGACTCGCAGGACCCCTCACCTCGAGAGTGGTTAACTTACCATCAGAGGGTCTAAGGGAATGCAGAGACAAGGCACCTGATTCTAGCTAAGCACTCCTTCCAGGATGAACACAGGCATCAACTTCAACTCCCTCTGCAGATCTGATGTCTATTTTGGCTCAACGCTGACTTGGACATCCCAGCGGCCAATGGACAAATCTTTTGTCATTGGATGCTTTGATGCAGTTAGTACATAGACTATCTTCCTAGTTTGTCTAAAATGTTTTAACAGCAGTGTTGGACTATAAATTGAATCTGAAATGATCTCCTAAGCAATCTGCTTGTTTATTCAAAGCCTTTGGGAGGAACTATCTGTGGGCTTTGTTAGGCTACCCAATGGGTCGTAGGCTCAAAGAAAATGGTAGAAAAACCTCCACTTTTTGGGGGTGGGGGTTGGTTATGGGGCTTGATCTCTGGGCTTGGGCACTGTCCCTCATCTCTTCAACTCAAGGCTAGTGCTCTACCGCTTGAACCACAGTGCCACTTCAGGTTTTCTAGTGGTTTATTGGAGATAAGAGGCTCACGGACTTTCCTGCCTGGGCTGGCTTTGAACCGTGATTTTCAGATCTCAGCCTCCTGAGTAGCTAGGATTACAGGCGTGAGCCACTGGCGCCTGGCTGAAACCCTCCACTTCCTAGAATAACCAAGAAGAGCAAAACATTTTGTTGGAAGAGCTGCCAGTCTCTTTATCATTTCCTCAAAAACTGAGAGTACTGAGTAATACTTAACTCTCTGCTGTGTAGAAATGATTGCATCCTAGAATAAGTAAACTGAACACTGCTAGGTACCAGTGGGTCAGGCCTATAATCTTGGCTACTTGGGAGACTAAGATCTGAGGATCCCAATTTGAAGCTAGCCTGGGGAAAAATAAATAAATCCAAGACACTCTTATGATTAACAAGCAAAAAAATCTAGAAATGGAGGTATGGATCAAATGGTAAAGCACCTTGAGTACAAAAAGGTATGCAAGAATAAAGCAGGCCCTGAGTTCAATCCCTAGTACTGGTATGTGAGTGCAGAATACACACAAAACAGAACCGAACCAAACCCCTGAACTCTATTTACTTAATAGCTAAGAGCTTTTTCTCCAACTATTGTGCCTTAAACTACAGTCCTATTTGTGAAATAACACCTATAGTATAAGCTTCCATCTGTGAGGTTCAAGACGATTTCTTTGCAACCATCACATTACAATTATTGCTCACTATGACTACAATTAAAAGCACAGTGAGGTAAATAAGATTTCTCACTATCTTATATACAATATAAATATTGCTGTATTTCCTACAATAAAGAAAATATGCCATGTGGCTTTCTCTTGCACCCAAATTGAACGTAAATCTATTATTAAAAAACCTCAGCTAGGTGCCGGTGGCTCACACCTGTAATCCTAGCTACTCAAGAGGCTGAGATCTGAGGATCACAGTTCAAGGCCAGCCTGGGCAGGCATGTCCATGAGACTCCTATCTCCAATTATCTATCAGAAAACCAGAAGTGGTGCTGTGGCACAAGTGATAGAGAGCTCGCCTTGACCTGAAGAACTAGAGACTGCACCTGGGCTCAGCTTCAAAACCCACAACCAACCACCACCACCACCACCACCAACAAAACTTATTATTGTGAACAAAGCTGCTGTGCAGCTTGAAGTTCTAACAGTTGGTAAATCTGGGGCCCGGTGTTGGTGGTTCATGTTTGCAATTCTAGCTACTTAGGAGGCTGAGACCTGAGGATCATGGTTCAAAGTTAACCTGGGCAGGAAAGTCCATGAGAGTCTTATCTCCAATTAAAACTGGAGATGGTGCTGTGGCTAAAAATGGTAGAGCTCTAGCCTTGAGCACAAAAACTCAGGGGCAGTGCCTACGCTTGGAGGTCAAGCTCCATGACCAAAAAAAAAAAAAAAAAAAATCAACATTGGCTTGTCTGGCTCATAAGCACCGATCTGGTTCAGTAGGAAAGGGCCAATCGCTGGCTTCAGGTGTGTACAGTACTTGGGTAGATACAGGGAAATGGGAGTCCAGTGTGGGGCTGGGTGGAGAAAGGCTCCTGCCCCTGGTTCAACACTGATGCACACCAGGATACAAAATGAGCCAATGTGTGTGTCCACCTTGGACCAAAGAAACAGGCAGAGACCTGGAGACACTGGCCATATCCAACAAGTCTCCATGACCAAACATTTAAAGCATTCCCTGCTATAAATTTATAGCTGACAGGGCCTTTTGAAATTGCATTATATTATAAACATTGAATTTTTCAAAGTCTATGCAGAAGCCAGGCAGCTCAGGGGCTATTAATCAGGAGAGGCAGTTCTGCAGATCCCAGACTCTTGGTCAGCGCTCAGAGGAGGTCTAATCATGATTTATGACTCCAAAGTGCCCAGGCCCGGCCTCAGTAAGCTCCCAGTCTGGCCATCTCTTCTCTTTCTCCTTGGCAGTCTCACAGCTGACCTTGGCCTGTGGTCCTAACTCAATATACCTTCAAGATTATGGATAGTCATAGGGAACAAGTTTTGATTATGGGAAAAAAAAAACACCACTAATCAATTCGTTGCTTAAAAAAAAAAAGGATGTGATCAATAGTAAAGAATACTTAAATGAGATACCTAAAAATTTCCAACTAGAAAAGAAGACTTTTGGAAGAAATCTAGGCTAGAGGCCTTCTTACCCAGGGTTTATCAATTTTATATCGGTCCTAGGACAATCTGAAGATGTCACAGCTGAAACCTGATGGTGACTCTCATGACTGTCAGATGGCTTAGGACTCTGGAGCCCTCCTGGACTTCAAAATTTTGAATCAGGGATGCTGAACTAAAGTTGAGGCAAGTAATCCGAATCCCCAAAAGCTCCTAACGTGAAACACTCTTTGGGCTCCACAAGTCGCAGATAAGGGAAACACAGGCGTGTCGACAGAGCCAGGAATTAGTACTGTGCCCATGTCTCCATCGCCCCGTGTTATTCCTCAGGGATCTGGTCTTGTTGGTGCTGTTGATACCACTTTTGGGGTTGGCCAACGACAGCTTCGAGAAGGGAAAAAGTGATCTCAGATGGCACAGCTGCCAAAAGGTAGCCAGGAGTGATTTCCCCAAGGCTCAGAGCCCAGCTCGAACCTGGCATCTTTCCGTCCATGAATGCACCTGCCAGTCACCAGGGTCATCTGGCCAGAGCTTAGAATCCTGGGCCCATACTGCAGGGGTTCTGAGAGGGTTCTCACAGACATTGCGGAGGCTGGAGTCTTGCCCGCTCCCCACTCCATCTCCTGCCCTCCTCACAGGATTTACAGGAGTGCTGCATTTATGTGCAACTTCCTGTCATCTTCTAGCAAAATAATCCACCAACTGCATCCCATCCATGACTCAAAACAGGAAAACGCCTTTGGCCTAGTAAGCGGGTGTCTCACCTTACAGCTGGGACAGCTGGGGCCCTGGGAAGACTCTAATCAGAGAAAGCCTCAGAGCGCTGAGAAAAGCCTTGTAATCTAGGCCAAGCTGGTGCTGGGGTCTAACGTAAAACCACTGTGGCCAAGAGGGGCAGGGCCAGAACTGGCTGCCTATTTCTAGAAAGAATACCGAAATTACTGAAAATTCTGATGTTTTATTCATGAAATCTTGCACTGATTTTGCGTTAAAAAGTATTCCATGACAATGTTATATCTCTTGATCGATTATTATTAGGATTTTCTGGGATACCTTTTAAACATTTTGTGCCAAGGTGAAGTCCCACTGGCTTCACCCTACATCTGACCCCCAGAATATTCTAGTAGTTCTTTGCTGGCAGGCTCATGCATCTTGATTCCAGGAATCTCAGGGGTCTGGCCCACAGCGGCCTGGCCGGCTGGTCAGATAGGTGAGCTGCCTCTATTTTGGGCTCCAGTTCTTGAGAGAACTGAATTGTGCTGAGCATTTGAAGAGAAATCCATGGATTTCCACATCAAATACTGAGAGGAAATGCAGTGACACGACTTACAGGTGATTTCATCATCTGACACCACCCTAGACCCCGGTCAGGTTAAGGAACTTGAACCTGATTCCCTATTGTTGGAAAAGAACAATAAAGCCAATAATAATTTAAAAAAATTAGCTGGGCACTCTGGCCTATGCAACCTCCAACTATAAATACAGATCGGTCTGGTTTCAACCCTTAACCTAATCAGTAAGTCATCTGTGTTTTCTTTGGTCCAAGCCCCAGAAGAGGAAAAAGACAAAAGCACGAGGATGGAGGTGGCTCAGAGTGGCCCAGGTAGGAGAAGCCGGCCTCACCTTGGAAGAGCATGGTCTGGCTGAAGTCACTGCGCATGTCATTTCGACACACAGCCTGGACTCGGAACAGGTAAAGGCTATCGGGTGAGACATGGCTGATGGTGGCTTTCTGTAGGGAAGAAAGAGAGGGCAGTGAGGTGGTTTTCATCGAGGTCAAGGCACACAGAGCAATCTAAAACAAACCTGGGTAGCTCAGGGAAGGCGGGAACCTTCTGTCTACCATAGGTCATTTACATAGTTGTGAAACCCATCGTGGGCCACACAAAATGATCCGTACAAGCAGACTGCATCGGGCAGCTGAGGGGAAGCACAGGCGTCTGTTCTGTCATGTACCAAATGATTTCTCTGTTCTTATACTGCCCACGGGCCAGAGGTTCTCTACCACTGAGGGCTTTCTTTGGAATACAGAGTGCTCATAAGGGACCTGGTCTGGGAAGAGAAAGAAGCACATTATTCTTCACTGTGTCTTAGAACCTGCTTCCAGCCCCCTTTAAAGCCTGTCTGTCATAATTGATAGCTGCTATACCTAATAAGCTGTATATACATATAGCTTATATCTATATACATATGTGACATGTTATATATACATATAACATATTTTATATATAACACATAACATAATACACTATAATGTATATTAATTATAATGTATTAATATGTTAGATGTCATGTTAGGCTATATATTATTGCATGTGTGTGTGTGTGTGTGCGTGTGTGTCTGTGTGTGCTACTACACAACACATTAGTGATAGTCCCAGGGCCAGGGCCCTGTCCCTAAGCTTTGTTTTTTATTTGTTCAACACTAATGTGCTACCAAGTGAACCACAACTCCATTTCTGATATTTTTCGAGGCTAACTGGAGATAAGAGTCTTACAGACTTTGCCAGCCCAGACCCAGTTTGAACCAGGATCTTCAGATCTTAGTCTCCGTAGTTGCAAGGATTATAGCTGTGAGCCATTGGCATCTGGATAAGCTACAAACATTTTCAGACAGGCCTGGGCACTGTCTCTCAGCTCTTCAGTTCAAGGCCAGCACTCTACCACTTAAGCCACAGTGCCACCTCTGGTTTTCTGGTGATTTATTGGAGATAAGAGTCTCATGGACTTTCCTGCATGGGCTGGCTTTGAACTGTGATCCTCAGATCTCAGCCTCCTGCGTAGCTAGGATCACAGGCATGAGCCACACTGATGCCTGGCTCAGACAGGATTTTTCTTTACTACGTAGCTGAGGCTCACCTCAGACTTGCAATCCTCTTGTCTTAGCTTCCTTAGCATGTCCAGCTAAGTATGGATTCTAGATAATACCTACAATTATCAGATAAATGATCTCTAGTGCCTCACAGACTTTAGGACATCAAAAAGAACTCAATTGTGTGTCTGTCTCTTTCCAGCTTGAAGGCCTGCCTTGTTGTATCCTGACTATGTATATCAGAGGACAGGCAGCAAGAACACTAGGCCAGAGGTCATGAAGATCTACCCTGCCACTGCTCTCAGGAGCCCTGTGGGCCTCACTCAGCTGCTCAATAGCTTCCAGCTTCAACTGTGTGATGGGGGTAGGACTAACCACCCCACAGGCTCTGGTGAGACCTGTGACCAGGCCAAGCAAACCTGGCTTATAAGTAGAACACAGTGAGCAGAAGAAGCAATGCTACAGGAAGATCAGCAAGCTACAGCCTGTGAGGCCAGATCTGGCTCACCATCTGCTTTATAAATAAAATATTATGGGCACACAGTCCCAGCCACTCATGGATATACCATGTAGGGTTCTTTTTACTCTACACTGGCAGAGTTGTATAGTTAAAACAGAGGCTGTGTTGCCTGTAAAACATAAACTAGTTATTATCTGGCCCTTTATAGAAAAATATTTGCTAACCTCTGATCAAACATCACCAGACAAATCCAGGTCACTCTTCTTCACTGTTTATTCCAATAGCTTTTAAAAGTAAGGGAATGTGACAGGCACTGGTAATGCCTGCCATCTTAGCTACTCAGGGGGCTGAGTTCTAAAGATCACAGTTCAAAGCCAGACTGCACAGGACAGTGAGAGATTCTTATTTCTAAGGAATCAGCAAAAAGTAAGAAGTGTAGGTGTGGCTCAAGTGGTAGAGTGCCAGCCTTTAGGTGAAAAATCCAACCAAGACAGTGAGTGCCTGAATTCAAGTCCCAGTTACCCCAAACCAAAATAAAAATAACATATACCTAAATGTAGCTAGTACTTGCTTCTCAAAGAAGACAACAAAACAGACCCTGATTTCTAGAGGGTCCCAGAAGTAAGAGGTCTTGTCATGGAATTGTGCACTCTGGGTCATATATAGAAAGAAAGCTGTACGGGCTGGGCAATGGTGGCTCACACCTATAATCCTAGCTACTCAGGAGGCTGAGATCTGAGGACAGTAGTTCAAAGCCAGCCCAGGCAGAAAAGTCCCTATGAGACTCTTAATTCCAATTAACCACTCAAATACTAGAAGTGGTGCTGTGGCTCAAGTGATAGAGTGCTAGCCTTGAGCACAAAGAGGCTCAGGGATGGTGCCCAGGCCCCAAGTTCAAACTGTACAGGAATACTAGGTTAGGCTCATGGCATTTTAACTATTGGTCTTGTTTAAAGGGAGCAGTTATATCTGTCTCACACGTGAGTGGCAAGGAAGTAGGTATCTGCATCCCTCCATCAGTACATAATAACCGAAGTTAGAGAAATGTGTTGTTACACTAAGTCAGCAGTCTTGACATGCTGAGGAATTAAGGATATTAATTTTGTGTGTCCTAAAAGAAGAAAAAAAACCACTCTAGAATTCCTTATGAAACAGAACTTGCTATCAAAGCACATTTTTCTGTGTATCTCTCGATCTTTCTCTAAAACTAATTTGTGCCTCATTTTCTAAACCTCTGACCCTCCCCCTCCTCTTATTCTATTCCAAGCAAAATCTTCCCTTTATCTGTACAGAGATTTATTAGAATTCACTTCCAGCCAGTTTCTACTCATCTCCGCGGGTTGAATTATTTTCCAATTAGAACAAGAAACCAAGTAGGTGCCCAGGTAAGTTTTCACTGATGAATGCGTGAGTTCAGCCAGGACCAACCCCCTTTCCTGACTTTCTATGGTGGCAAAAGCAAGGTTAGAATTCGGTATCACCTTGGGTGTCTCCCAGTGGATTACTCTCTGAGTTCACAAAGCCTGTCACTTCTCTAATGTGACCCAGATAACAATGTCTAGCAGGGAAATTGAAAATCTAAATGGAAACGAAGTCAAAGAATGTTCACCTGAAGGAATATGAAAAGCATTATTGTATCACTGATTGAATGGGCCCGGAAGGACTCTGTATTGGGAGAAGGGGAAAAAAATGGGAACAGCCATTAAGAATCCCCCTCAGTGTCACTTCAGTTTTCACCTACATAGACAATTATAGGTTTTCATTATTCTGAAGACTTCCTTTGATTAACAATAAGCACAGCTAGGCTTTCCGACCCAGCGTGTCTGTCACCCGGAGTTTCTCTGGGCAAAGACTGGGACATGAGCGAAGATTTGGGAGATGAGGGAATGTTGGAGGGTTTGCTGGAAGAGGAAAAGATGGCTTCTACCATCAACTGCTCTGAAAGGCTGTGGTTGGTGGGCATCAGAGGCTCAACGTTTATGTAACTGTGAAGAGGAAAAGTTGAACAGGGCTTGTTTCCTTCAAAATAAGGACAGACACAACAGCATCTAAGAGCTGGAGAACAGAGGTAGAACAAATCGGCCTGGCCACGGGGTTCCACAGCAGGTAATAGGAATGTGTCAGGCCACAAGAAGTGGAGGGAACTAGGGACAGTGGGGGTGGTGGGGACGATAAAAAGATGGTGACAGAGGTAGCATGAGTGTAATCAGAAGAGTACTCATATAAGCTGGGTGGCTGGTGCCTCACACCTGTAATCCTAGCTACTCAGGGAGATGAGGTCTCAGAATCCTGGTTTGTTTTTCTGTGTTTCTTTTTTGTTCCTCCCCTTTTGTCACGGTTTTTGATTTCTGTACTTTTTGTTTTGTTTGTAAGTATATTTGTTCTGGGGAGGGGAAAGGGAAGCCCAGAATTAGTGGAAGAGAGGGTGAACTAATGCAGCAGCGATACTCACTGGACTCTGTTGAAAATGAACTATATTACCTGGAGTAGGAGGGAAACAAATGGGAGAAAATGAGGGAAGAGGTGACACTGTTCAAATGAAATGTATTCATTACCTGACCTATGTAACTGTATCCCCTCTGTACATCACCTTTACAATAAATATAAATGAAAACAAAGCAACAACAAAAAAGACTTCTCGTTTGAAGCCTTCTCAGACGGGCAAGTCCATGAGACTCTTACCTTCAATTAACCACTAAAAGGACAGAAGTAGAGCTGTGACTCAAGTGGTAGGGCACCAGTCTTGAATGAAAAAAACTAAGACGTAGTGCCTAGGCTCTGAGTTCAAGCCCAAGGACTTTCACAAACACACATATCAAGAGTATTCATAGAAGCAGGGAGTTGATAGCTCACACCTGTAATCTTGGCTACTCAGGAGGCTGAGATCTGAGGATTTCAGCTCAAAGCCAGCCAGGGCAAGAAAGTCCCCAAAAGACTCTTACCTCCAATTAACCACTCAAAAAACCAGAAGTGGAGCTGTAGCTCAAACTGGGAGAGCACTAGCCTTGAGCAGAAGAGCTCAGGGACAGTGCCCAGACACTGAGTGCAAGCCCCCCAACCAACAAGAACAACAAAAAGAGTATTCATATAGTGCTTGCTAGGGATCAAGATCCATGGTACACTTGTGTAATACGTTTAGCATGCCAAATAATCAGATGTGATGACAAGGGTAGAGTGGAGGCACTCTGGATGTTAGTCGTGAATACTGGTACCAGGAAACAACCACAGCAGTTCCTGCTCCACCAGCTGCTAAGTGTAAAGTCAGGATGAAGCAGGCAGTGAAGGAGGCCAGGGAGACACAGGGTCTGGCAAAGGGGACTGTTCTAGAAGAGCACTGGAACCGCAAGAGGAGGGACTTGGAACGGGGCAGGGTGGGAGCTTACCAAGTCTTTGTCACTGTCCTTGGTGAATGTCTTCTCCTTCTCGTCCTCATTCTTGGTCCAACTGTAGGAGACCATGTAGTTCATGATGGGCGGGTGGTAGATAGTCTCAGGCTGGCTCCAGGACACCTGCAGTACTGTCTGGTTCAGAGGCTGTACCTTCATGTGGATGGGCGGAGAGCTGCAGACTAAAGACACACATAGCCAAGCTCAGGGGCGGGGGGGTGTCTGGCACAAGTCATCTTTCCCACATTAGCCTTGACAAGTTGAAATGGCCACATGGGAAACCTATACCTCTGCCAGCCAAGCCCCGCTACCATCCATATTTACCACATGGGTGTCCCTCCCTCTTTACCATTTAGGCATGGCCATGAACACAGGGAAGCCACTGGACACCAAGTGTGGTCGTTATTTCAACCCTAAATACTGTGGCCTGCACCTGTTAAGAATGAGGACATTCTCATAGCAATGTGGACATGCTCATGCCTGTAATCCTGGCAATTCAAGAGGCTGACAAGCAGTGAATGGATGCTTTAAGCCAACCCAGGTAGAAAAGTCTGTATAACTCCATTTCAAATTAACCAGCCAAAAGTCAGACTGGAGGTGTGGCTCAAGTGGCAGAGCATCAACTGAACAAGTGTGAGACCCTGAGTACTAACACCAATACTGCCAACAAAACCCCTGGAAGAGGAAAGCCACTCTCCCTACAGTCACCACATCTGTGTCATACCTAAGAAATTAAATGTTGATTCAATAGTATTGTTTTAGAAATTGCTTTCATTAACATATATTAACTGCATCAAGTGAACAGTTTCACTGGGCTATTTGCATATAATGAATTTCATAATATTATTTGATACACAATCCATATTCAATTGTTCTCATTTCTTAAAAATCACCCTGAGCTGTTACCCTCCTCCTCTCCCACACTTTAGTAGCTCCCCCTTTCAAGTCATATGGACTTTTCCCCCCATGACGGAGACTTTTTTGAGAGTTTGGGGAGTAGAACAGTCTTGGGGCCTGAACTCAGGGCCTGGGCACTGTCCCTGAGCTCTACCACTTGAGCCACAGCTCCGCTTTTGGTTTTCTGGTGGTTAATTTGAGGTAAGAGTCTCACAGACTTTCCTGCCCAGGCTGGCTTTTAACTGTGATTCTCAGATCTCAGCCTCTTGAATACAAGCATGAGCTTTCAGCACCTGGCTTACCACAAAGACTTTTTGAAGAAGCCATCCATTTGAACTTGTAGAGTGTCCCAACGAATTTCCCACAGGTGAAATTTTATTGTGGATATCTCAGAGTATAAATAAGTACAATTTATTGCAAGACTTTGCGTCATTTAAAAGGAAAGACACACAGAGAAAAATAATGGCTTTGTCTGGAGCAGCAGAACACGGTGCGATCATACTGCAGTGGGTTACACACAGAGGTCAGCTAGTGCATCTTTTTATCCCTGTGCTGGGTGTGTGTGTGTGTGTGTGTGTGTGTGTGTGTGTGTTAGGGGACACAGTGCATCTGCACCTGTGTACACACAAACCCACTTTAGTGTTGAGAGTTTTAAGTCTGACTTTAGATTTGTGGAACAGGGTTTCTCAGCCTGGACACTCCTGGTTCAGGCAAACGATTCTTTGCTCTTGGGGGCTGTGTGTCTTAAATGACAGCTGCCAAAGATGTCTGCAGATATCAGAAAATGTCTCCTCCTGGGCCGATGAGAACCACTGGTCTAAAACAAAGAGATTCATAAGAATGAATCACCCATTCAGAGCGGATACAGACTTTGGGGATGGGATGATGGTAGGCTGGGAGGAGAGGCACATGCTAGCTTGGAAGCATTTGAGAAGTGGACTGGACTCGGCCTGTGGGCCCAGGGGGAGATGTGTGAAGTAGTTGGGATGTTGTCAGGGAAGAAGAGACCATAGGAGAGTAATGAAAGGAGACAGGGCAGAGGGTTTCATGGCACCAGGTGCAGCTGGGGCCGTAAAGGTCATAGGAACTGGATTTGAATTCTGATCTTTCTCCCTCAAGCCCTTGGCAGGTACTGAGAAGACTTGAGCCAGACATGCCGATGTGAAGTTGTCATGGGAAGAGGATCACTGGTTGCAGGGAGTGTAGCAGGCTCTGAGTAGGGGAGGGGTCCGCACAGTGGATGTCACCCATGACCTTGGCAGAGAAATGGCAGGCAGGTTTCAGAGCTGAAGGATGGAAAAGCTGAGAAGCCTAGATGTATGCCAGGTGAGGAGAGGAGAGGAAAGGAGAGGAGTGCGGGTGGGTATGGGAGCAGGTGGGGGAGAGTTGGAGGAGGTCAATGAGAATATGTAAGTTTGGAACATGGAGGTGGGTAGAAGGAGGGGTGTGCACCAAGTAGACAGGCTGAGGAACTGGGGCTCGGTCCTGACCCAGGCACCTTCCAGGGCCCAAGTGTACGCAAGGTAGCCCATCATGAGCCAGATACCTCTATTTTCTACCCCAGATCCCCACAGGGAGAGGGCTGAGCCTGCCAGAAAAGCATGAGTTTTCGGGAGCCATGGCTGGAGAAAAGCAGGTGTAGATTTTTTTTGCTCTTCCTTTTGCTCTTCAACTGCCAAACCATGGTTCAGTGGGAGAAGTGCTTTGCATGGCTGAGACAAGAAGGGATAAATTAATGAAGCATTCCCACTGCCCCGTAAAACCCCAGGAGGCAATATGCCGCCTGCCACACAAATGTCACTAGAGCTGGGATATCAAAGGAGACTTTATCAGTCACAGAAGGGGGAAGTAATGTAGCATGGACACTAGGTGGCGCCAGGCTACTGCTTTTAAATAAAACCAATGTAGGAAGAAGTCTGTTTCTCAAGAAAGTCACAGATAAAGGGGGTGAGGGGGGGGGATTGGCCAAAACGTACACCCCCCCTGTTTTCAAATACTAGCAGTCAATCAAGATTTGTATGTTTAGAAAATTCTGTAGCTCACAACCATGACCTGATTTCCGCATCTTCCCCTACCGCCTACGATGTTCTTATTTATCTTCCTTAGTGATGGACTACAAGGAAGTGTATCTCTCTCCAGCAATTACATCACAAGCACAGAAGTAATTCTATCAGCCACAGACCAACGCATCCATTCTTATTTACTTAGCTATTTTATTTTTTTTCTTTTTCCAGTACTGGGGCTTGAACTCAGGGCCTTGATTTCTACTTGGCTTTCTCACTCCTGGCTAGCACTATACCAACGTGAGCCATATTTAGGGTGTGTGTGTGTGTGTGTGTGTGTGAGTGTGTGTGTGTGTATGTGTGCATGTGCAGGTTAACTGAGTAAGATTTGTCTGTCCAGGCTGGCCTCCAATGGTGATTCTCAGATCTCATCCTCCTAAGTAAGTAGGATTACAGGCATGAGCCACAGGCACTTGGCATTTGAAATGAAATTTGCTAGGTTTTTCTATGCACATCAAGATGATTTGGGTTAGTTCTTTTAAACCAAAAAGAAAAAAAAGAATCTTGTCAGTGTAAACTACAAACAACCATGTCAAGCCAGGTGCCAGTGGTTTCTAGTAGTAGTCCTAACTACTCATCGGAAGATGGCGTCAAAGCCTAGCCCCGGCAGGAAAGCCTGTGAGACTCTGACCTTGCATGAGCGTGCGTGTGCACACACGCACGCGTGCATGCACGCGCACATACACACAGGGAAAATGTTCTGGGAATCCAACATATAGATATTCTCTTCATCCATATGTGAAAGTACATGCAAACCAGTCGAGGTAAGGTGTGGGATGTGTTAGCTGGTAGCTTATAATCCTAGCTACTAGGAAGCTGAGATCTGGAAGACCTCAGTTTGAGGCCAACCCAGGCAGAATAGTTTGCTGGACTTCATCTTCAAAATAACTTGCAAGAAGCTAGGTTAGAGATATGGCTCAAGTGGCAGAACACCAGACTAGTAAGCACAAGGTGCTGAATTCAAACTCCAGTACTGGGTTGGGACTGGAATAGAATGTATATAGCCTGCAATTTAATTTTTCTTTTAGTATTTTGCTCCACACATCATGGTTGTATTTCCCCCTTGTAAAAGTGAATGGCACTATTGCTTTGAAACCAAGTATGGAATGCTTCTGTCTCAATGCATTAGAAAATACTGAGTTAGGCTGGGCACCAGTGACTCATACCTGTAATCTTAGCAACTCAGGGGGCTGAGATCTGAAGATCCTGGTTCAAAGCCAGCCCTGTAGGAATGTCCATGAGACTTTTAGCTCTAATTAACCACCAGAAAACCGGAAGTGGTACTGTGGCTCAAAGTAGTAGAGCACAAGCCTTGAGCAAAAGAGCTCAGGGACAACACCCAGGCCCAGAGTTCAAGCCCCAAGACTGACAAAAATGAATATATACACTTAAAAAAAGGAAATACTGAGTTAAGCTGTTGTAGGACGACTCACTCTGCAGGTTCACTTTCCAGGAAGCAATTCTGTAATTAAAATGCCTGCTGCAGACCACACATCAGAAGCCATTCGTGAGAAGGAAATCTTATCTCTCAGCCCGCCCCACACCTTGTTGACTAGTAAGAGTGTTTCTGTGCACAGTGGTCCAGATTTGGAGGGTCTGGCTGGGAAACTTTGTCTGTCAAAGGACAGAGAGTAAGGGTTTCCAGCTGTGTGAGTACAAGGTCCTAACTCTGGAGTCCAGGAAGTACACACAAACGAGCGTGACTGTGCCAGAAAAGCTTGATTTATGGTCCCCACATTTCAGTTTCATTGGATTTTTCAGGTGTCACAAATTTCCTTTTGATCTTTCTCTACTGTTTAAGAACATTAACAACCACTGTCAGTTCCCATTATACAAAAGATGGCGGTGGGTGAGCTTTGGCCCCATGCATCAGTGGTTTGCTGATTCCAGACTTTGAAGATAAAGGGAGATCAAACTGTTATTTGGAACTGTGGCACCTACTGCATTTGTATTCTTTATAGCATCAGCAATTATGTTGCTGACTTCCCTGCTCACCTGGCCTTTCACGGTGAGGCTCAGGGGCTGGCACTTTCTATGTCTGGTTCAACACATTTGCCTGAAGTCTACAGCTGGCATGCAGCTGGCTCTCAGCACGTTCGGTGCATCATGGTTCGCAGGTCTGTGTGGTGAACCCTTTCCTTCCAATTTCTTAGCCCAGCCCTATCGCCATTGTGGCTTTCATATTATGTGGCTCCTCTGCCCCTTCTCATAGTATCTTTGCC